CCCGAATATGGTAAAGGCGATGACGAACACGGGGGCGTTTATTAGAAATTAAGTTAATGTAGTGGGCATGGCATGGTGTGGCATGGTGGGGTACGCTCATCGTAAAGAGTAGGTTGTTTATTAGCATGCGATGATGGTAATAGTCACAAGAGTATTAAACATGTATTCCCACGATTAATAATTTTTGTACGATATTTTTGTAAACATCGACAAAAATGATTATAAATTCTAGTGTTTTGAAATTATGAATTACTTGATGATTTTAGTTAAACTGCAAGATGAAATTTAATAAAGAGATAATGGTATCAATAATTATAATTTGATCAACCAACAAGTGAAGTGTGTGGGTAAATAAAATTAATGAGAACGTTATGATGGTATCTATTACTGTGACGTTTACAATCACGTATACGAGATACAGTTCATGTGAATAATAAACAATTTCCAATTTAGGCGACGCCCCTTTCCTGAGTATATCCCCTTAGCATGCTTTCAATTGCCTAGAAAGACAACTCCATACAGAAGAAAGCCGTTTTTGTTAGGAGGCAAGCTTTCCGGGAAAATGTTATAACGTTATCGTAGAACGTTTAATAAATCATGCTTTAATACCAAGAGTCATTATTTCTTTTGCTACGCCACTTAAAGTGCTTACCAAGTGTTGCAGACGTGAAGTAAATGTATTATCTTGCCCAACGCGCGAAAGAGAATTGTCTACTAAGAATCTCTTATCTAATAAACTTTTTTGACAAACACGAAAATGGTCTTTTTTGAATCTATTGGATGATTGTTTTTTCCGTCAGCCAGATAATGTGAATTAATGAACGACAGGTCCGTATCGTCTATCATGTTAAGACTTGGAGGACTGATAATATATACACTAGTGTGACATACAATACTTGACTACAACAACCATCATAACGAACGCCTCACGAGGGTGTTCTGTCTTGTGCGTTACCATTTTATAAACTCTTTTCTACACAAATAGTTGCCACTCTTATCCGTATTTTTAAAATAAATTTCACTGGTTTCTCTCCCTCTTCCTCTTGGGCACAAAACCATATTCAAAAAAAAAACAACATAAATTCTGGACATGTTCTCCAATTTCCGTCTTCTTACTCTATAAAATACTGACATCAAACTATTGTTTCTAATCATTTCCCACAACATGCTAATTCTCTTATTTATCCTTTTATAAAACGTATAGTACTGTCTTTGACATCAGTTTATCCCTAAAAGTTTTATCTTTCGTCGTGTTGCAACATACGTCAGTTTTGAGCTTTAGCGTAGTCTTTGGTTACTTCTATTAATGTTTAATCTTCAGACAATTGGTTATTATACTCACGAGTCGTATAAATGTTGTATATCCTCATGAACTCGAATACATGATCAATCCGTATAATCGATAACGTCGACGATTTGCAACTATGTTTGTTATAAAGTTGCATCAATAACGGTACCCTTATGTAGTAGTCGCTTCTAAGCTGATGGCATTGCAGAGGGTCTGGGGCTTGAAATTGATACACCAACCATTACTGGTAAAAGGAGGCTAGTGTGGCAGGCCTGAGACCGATTTCTCCCGATAGAACGTTATACAATTTCGTGGGAGAACGTCTTTCCCTCTTTCTTCTATCGTTAAATATATCAATAAATTCTACCCAGAAAGTCTCAGCCAAATCTCTGGTTTTTTGTATTTTTGTAGATTTTGTCCTTCAATTTTAAAAAAAACCACTTCGAAGCAATGATTAAAATTTTTACTCAGGATCGAATCCCACCTTTCCATTCTGATTCAGTTCGCATTCTGTTTGTATCATTTTCAAGCGCAAAAAATTCTTTTTATAAACAAATTGTTCGAAATTGGCCGGGGTTTGCCGGTACAGTCTACCCTCTCTTATATCCACCCCGTTCATATCCACCTCTCTCTATTAGCAACAATAGTTACAGAACGGATTTCCCCATATTTAAATTCCCCCATATTAATTTTGATATCATACCCCGTTGATATTAATATCCCTATCAACACATATCAGATTTTATTCCAAATTAAATGTACCTCACTAATATCAAGATCAATATAAATTAGTATTTAAAATTTAAATTCTGATCTACAATATCACGTATTTACTACGATTTGCGTTCTATTGTGTGCTAAAGTATAACATATTACTAAAAGTGAAAAAAGGAGGAAAAATTGATGACAGTTAACATATTTTTGTAATCATTTCATGTGCCATCGCATTATATAATAAATAAATTATTGGAATTTAAATCACTTGAATATCATACTGTATAAAGCTGCGCGCTGTCTTAGAAATTCACACTGAACAAGATAATAATCACGAATGAAGAAGCAGAACGCCCACGAAAGAAACGAATGCACTTAACTATGAAGTCAAAGCAAGAGATATGCCAACAAAAGCAAATTAATCCATCTTTAAGTATTACTGAACTAGCAGAAGAATATAATTGTGATAGAAGCGCGGTTGCGAAGATTTTGAAAGCGAAGAACGAGTGGTTATCCAAAGAATTTACGAGTTACGAAGCAAAGGCAAAGGCTAACAGACCAGTAAAGTTTACGAACTTGGAAGATGCTTTAAGCATCTGGACACGTCGGTTTTTTTCTCGAAATGTTGTATTAACTGATAGACTCTTACAACTGCAAGCAAAAAAATTTGCTGAACTTCTAAATATTTCAGAGAGTGAGTTCAAGGCAAGTCAAGGTTGGATCGATAGATTCAAAAAACGACATAATATTCATCATTTTAAAATTCATGAAATGTACCAGTTGAAGACCTTCCTGAACGGGGACAGCAACTAATCGAATTACTTTCACAGTACCAACCAGAGAATGTTTATAATGCTGATGAAACTGGTCTTTTTTTCCCGAATGACACCTAATCAGACACTCGCAACCAAGCCAGTAAAAGGTAAAAAGAAAGATAAGGAGCGAATTACTGTACTACTTTGTACATATGGCAACTGGTACAGATAAACTTAAACCACTAGTTATCGGCAAGTCAGCAAATCCTCGATGTTTTAAGAATATTCAAAAGGAAAATCTCGGTGTCAAATATGAAGCAAACAAAAGGCATGGATGACAGGTGACACTTTCAGTCGCTGGATAAAATCACTGAACCATACCAATCGCCTCAAGCATAGAAAAATCCTAGTCTTGGTCGATAACGCCAGCTCTCACATAGTTAGCGAAGAATTGGATTATGTAAACGTTCATTTTTTACCACCGAATACCACCCCTTATTTGCAACCATGTGATACCGGAATAATTAACCCTTTCAAAGCTCACTATCGAAAGTTGTATCTTCAAACAGTATTGGAAGCGATCAACTCTGAAAAAGAAATACCTCGCCTCAACATAAAAGAAGCAATTAGTCTTTGTTCGGAAGCTTGGAGAAACGTAACCCCTCGGACTATTGTCAATTGCTGGCAAAAAACCGAAATAGTACCATTAACCGAGTGGAATTGGCGAAATCCAGACGTACAAGAATACAATGAGAATCCAGAATTAGTAACTGATATTGAACAACTAGTTTCTGACTTTCCTGCTAATAGCATGACGGCTAACAATTACATTCATTTTGACGATACTATTGAGACAGAAGAGGTTGTTATCGACGAAAAAGAAATTATTGAAGAGATCTGATTCTGATAGTTATAGTGAAGGCAGCGACATTGAGATCGAAAAATTCCTCATTCTGTGTCATTGGAACAATGCAAATTACTTCTGCAGTGTGTAGAACAGCAAGACCCTGCCAAATTCGTAGAAGGGCAAGACATACCAAGATTGCAAAGTCTGTTGCGTCGTATTCAATCGAATATATACAAGGCGAGGCAACAAAAAAAGTTGACAGATTTTTTCGTCCACTCTTCATAAGAAGTGAATGAGTTGATGTAGTTGAATAATAATATATTAATATGGGGAAAGAAATAAATAAAGTTTAGTAATTCGAGGCATGAGTATCGTATATAATATTATTACAGATGACGTCATCACCCCCTATGATATATTAATATTAATATGAGGTTGATGTTAGAGAGGGCAGACTGTATTACCTTGACTTACTCCTGTACTCAGTGATTGAAAGTTTCATATTGTCAAACTGAAATGACTTCAACCAATGTCATTATAATTAGGGAAGTGTTGCCTAAACGAGGTTGATGATACTAATCACCCTCAGGATTTTTACTGAGATGCAAGACTTTGTGTATTTTCTTACAAGTTCATGATGAAATGGGTGGTATGATTTAATGATGAGTGCTCTTATAAATACAGATCATAAGTTCCCTTAGCAAAGCAAGAACACAGAAGAGGCTGTCATGTGTTTCATATGCAGGTAGTCTACTGAATTGCTGATGAAAGAGGAAGAAGCCTTGAATGGGTACCATTACATTTTGATTTGCTTTCTAGTTTGCTACTAAATAATATCTTTGATTAACAAACCCTCCCATCCTTGCTTCTTATACTTAGCTGCTTTACCCAAGTTCTCCTTCTGCACTCATACATGTCTAGTTTACTATCATGCTTAATTTTGCTCTAACGGATATTGCTTCTTTCTGTTCTTATTCTGTCTGCTTCACATGTCATTTCACCGGTTTCTTGTGCATTGTTGCATTCTCCATGTCAAGTAGCCGTTCTTACCACAAACACCCGCAAGTGTATGGAGCCGGTGGACAATAAAATATCTGCAATCATAGAGATGGAATGAGTCAAGACCAAGGTCGAATATAGTTTATAGTTTGGAGCTCTATATAATATTGTGTAGGCGTATACACATGACGCAATGCAAGCGGGTAACACCTTATAGCGTAAAATTTTTTTCAACGGGAATACTGATATTGTGTAATATTCATTCACTTATTACAGTGGGTGTTTCGCTTCACCCGGAAGTATGAATGGATTTCGGATAAACGCCCTGCCAAAAACGCAATAAATGAATTTCTAAATAAGTTCGATACTTTCATGTGAAATTTATTGTCTCGTGACGCTTTGTAATCAGGTTCAATTTCATCTAGTGCATACACTTCAGCCCATCTAAATATTTACGAGCTCCAAACTCGGCTTTGCCTTCAGAAGGTTGAAATTTCAAACTACACTCACTACCAAAACCTTCAACAGAGTCCTGAAATTCAATTGCAAAACAGTAGCCCGTATATGCCATGTAAGTAGCGATGGTTTTAGATACTGTTGTAAAGCTAATCGCTTGTATTATCGATACAAGCCACAATTTGATGAAGTGTAGTACTATGTTACACAGGTAAATAAACGTTTTCGTTATATAACGAACTGCTAATATATAACAGTAGTACTTTTTTTTCCGAAAAATACAACAAACTTAATAATAACGGCGGCGCTTAATACTAAGTCATCACTACTTACATAGCATATACGGACTACAGAGGTTTCCGAACAAAAAGATTTTTATGTTTTACTCGTAAATTCGGGCCGAAGACTAGGGAGCATGTACATATGCATGCATTATTCGCTTTTGGCACTATTCAATGATCATTCGTAATATAAAACATTGGGCCCCCTTCAGTTCACAACATTTGTTTTCCATTAAACCATTCATTGGGAATATACTTCCGAGCGCTGATAAGTATTCCGCAAGAAACAATTTTAGAGAAATGGCTATTTCCGGACTCTCGAAAGATGTTCAAAAACGGCACCGAATCGACTCACGTGTTCATATCCGGTCAAATTGGTTAAACCTTCCTTTTCAGCATATTCGGCTTTTATCATTATTTATTATTATCCTTGGATTTTCCGACTCGGCTAATGCTTTTAAAGCAAACACCAGTTCATCTAATGAAATTATCGAAACGGTCTTCGATCTTCTGATCACGGTTCTAATTCCGGTAATCTTGGTTGCTAAAAATAATAAGACTGATACCAGTATTTTCAGTCGCGCTTGGCTAACTTTCCTTGCCATTACGCTTAATTATGTGCAACTTTCTTTAAAAATTTGGTTCTGGGTCAGGGCTTATGAGGCTACTCAAGATTTCTTTTTTATTATTTATCTCATAGCCAACATAACCACTAGTCAAATTCTTTGCTGTTGTATCAGAATAAACCCACGAATAATGGTCACAATCATAAGTTCCTCAACGTTTGTTATAGATTTAGTCTATCTTTTTTTGGCTGCAAAGAAGGGCTATGTCGACTCGTCGACTCATCTTTTTATAGTAATACCCATCATCTTAGCATTTGCACTTGGGTTTATTATATTCGTAAAAATAATAAGAGAGGAGAATAAGAATAAGAATGATGATAATAATAATAATAATGATGATGATAATGATAATGACAATGATAATGATATATTCTCAGTTTATATGTTAGATTTTGGAAAATTTAATAGACCAATTTGGATCATTGGGTTTTGCTCGAGCTTGGTAAATTGTTCGATTGTTGGGCCTTCGATTCTTTGGATCAAGGTTTATATTACTTTGGGAATTATTAGTTATACAGCAATTGATACTCGTGATAACTTATGTGATAAAGACGGTGAATCCTCTTAAATAACAGAACTACCGCTTTTAGTTCACGTTATTAATAAAGAAATGAATGGATTCAATTACATTATAGCTGTTGTCTATGTTATTGTGATATTACAAATAAGTCCATATCATCTGATGTGAGCTCTGATTTCAAGACTTCCATCATATTGGTGCTCTGCAATTTCCTTTTCACAGACTCCGTTCAGTGAATTATCCAGCAATAATAATTAATTATGAACACTCCCAACGATTGATGAGGAAAATTAGTAGTCGAATAAGTCGTTATCCATACTCACGGGTTGTCGAGCCAATATTCCTGGGAGAGCGGCGGAATACTGACCTTGAGATTTAACTCTAACCTTTCGGTAATTCCTACTCGAATTAAATTGCCAACAGTTAGTGACGCTTAAACTGCGATTTATACTCACGATCTTAATTATCGTTCTTGTATACGTTCTCCTGGAATTATTATTTATCCTCGAGATTCACGTCGATTTATATTAAACTAATAACCTATCGGGTTGGGAAACTAAACTACTAAACTTGCGCAAAAGAGAAATAATAATTCTTGTCCGAAAGACCGCTTCGAGGTTAAGGGCGAGTATAACGCCATCAGAGAATACGTTTTGTATCTCAATAGTTCAGAATTATTTAACACGAAAGAATAAATATGTTTGTTTTAACACGGTTTATTAGAATATAAAGAACTATTCTATTGCAAGGATTATGAGATCAATTGGAGTTCTCAGCTGAAGATTTAAAGAACTTGAGAATGATGATATTTTGCTATCGCCTACGCTGTTCTTTTATAACTAAAGTTTTCAGCAATTTCACCCGCATTAGGCAATATTAAGTACTATTCTACTTTTCAGAAGTTTCTGCCACATTAAGTAACTAATTACTAACTGGTAAATCCTAGAGTTCTCTGTGTTACGCAATCGATTTCAGGTCACACGATTACATCATGTTCGATTTTATTCTGTGTGATATGTATTACGAAGTAATGGCACTTAACATGCCTGATCGAATATCTGTATTTTTATTTGGGATCGTCATTATGGGATATGCAAATCACAAGAGACTAAGCTAATTCATCGCTGTTTTGTGGCCGTACGGCAGAAATTAATGCCAATCTTATCTACGATTCCTGTAAATATTGAGCGATTCCGATTCGAAGTAATTAATAATAATAAATGAACCGATTACCAAATCCGAAATTGGGCTTTCATACCATCTGAAACTGGTTTTGTTAGTCGCGAGGGGTGTGGTATAAAAAATGAGTTAAGTGTATGGAAAACTTATGTGTCAAAGACACTAGCTCCGCTATTCGGTTATACACCTCGCTATGTCTGCTAATATCTCATCTCTCTAAACCCTTGCATTAAATATTCTGAAAAATTCATCCCTAGATAAAATTGCAAAAGGCGTTAATGTTTCGGAGACCCATGCTCGTTATGTAACCGAAAACTTTTTTTGTATGAAATAAAATCCCCGATTACCATACTCGTCTGTAGACATATATATCATCGCGATTGCATCGAAAAATCCATCAAAATCCATTCAATGTGTCCAAGACCTGACTGCAAGAAAGAGATAGAAGAGGCAAAGCCTCGAGACTATGTCTCATCTACGGTTGATGCCACGCCTGGAAGTCAAAATACAAACGATTTGATGGATATATCCCCGACATTATTTAACAATTTTCCAATATTTAGAGACAAGTCCCAGAAAAAGCATGTTGGTGAATCTGCCAGCAAATCGTCCAGCAAGAAAGTGAAGAAGCAGGTTTCAAAGGAAGAGTCTCCTACGTTACAACTCCTACCCAGAAAACCTCATCTAGTAATACAATCATTTTACAGTCAGACGTTTCCGAAATTGACAAAGATTCAGTTAATTTTCGTGAGTTATATGATAAGATTACCAGTGCCGAAGACAATAATCAGAAAATTACCCATGATCTGATTTATTGCCACTATGATTTCGGGAAAGGTATGAAATTATGGTTCGATCATTATAGAATAACATGTAGTGAGGGTGCGTCTAATGCGAGAGTTAACGATAAATTAGGGAACAGATTTCTGCACAAGATAAACTTTCTGAGACCAATCTTCGGACAAGAAAAGAAAGAGCTAAAAAGATTTTTAG